TTAATATATTAATTTTTATTTGCTAAATAATTATCAATTATTAATTACTTAATATATTAATTTTAGATTATTAATTACATGTACTCAAAACAAACATAAATGTAACCAAACACGATTTCACTTTTTTATCATACTCAATCCAATTTCTTGAAAGACCATCAAACGTAATTTCAGAATCTGTTCCATAATGATTTTCAAAATAATCTCATTTTTATTTTTGTACCGAAAAGAAAACTATTTTTAAAATATTACCAAACGTACCCAATATAATTTTAAAAAGCAACAAGAAAATTAAAATGTAAAAATCATAAAAAAATTAAAAAGAAAAAAAAAGTAAGTGGAGGGGCTGCCATGTAACATCTCCATAGGAAAGAGCTTTGACTCTTTTATCTATTGTTAGACGTATAGAGAAAAAATAAAATAAAGGCAATAGGCAAAAAGAAAAAAAAAAGAGAGAGAGTCAAAAAAATTAAAAGAAAATTAAAAAAAAAAGAAAGAAAGAGGAGGCCAATATATGGACTTTTTAGAAGTCAAGTCCTTATCCTCGACTCTTTTAAGTCTTTGTTCATTTCACCGATTCGAGTTTTCAGTTTTAGGTTTTCACAGTAAAAAGCTCTCAGAAAATATCACATCTAACTTTTTCTGCTACAGTGAAAAGCTCTAAAAAAATATCACATCTCAGCTCGAATTGAAAACTCGAATTCGTAAAGTGAACGAGGCCTAAGTATGCACTAGTTGTTAGTACGCACACCGCGCGCACACGTACATTAGTTTGATGAATTTATTGGATGCAAAAATGAAAATTATGTTGTCAGCAAACTTTGGTTAATAAGACATCAAATCTCATTTCACATCCACTAAAAAACAAATGCAGAAAAGAACAAAAGAAAACGAAGAAGAAATATATTATTCATGCGCCAATTTGATCTCTTCGTGATAAGAAGGGAAATGGAACATCTGCTGGAGAAGTTTTTTAAACAAAGCACAAGAATGCATGGGGTGGATGTGGAAAAGAAACGCATCATTCATATGCCAATTTAATCTCACCCTGATAGGAATGCTCTGTTAATACCATTTCTTAAAGTATATTTGGATGAAAGATCCAAGTGCAAAGTAAAAAAGTTCAGTAACTTTTCTTATCAATAGGAAAGAAATATCTTTTCTACATACTACATTCCATGCTTACCCCGGGGTCATTCATTCACATTAGTTCCGTATCAGGCAGGCAAAAGGCACAAAATAAAGCACTATTTGATGACGGGCCCCATCCAATCACGTCTGAAAGATATGACAAGGGTTCAAACTTTGAGGATAGGGAAGATGTTTACCAGGTGAGTTCTAGGTCCTACCATCACGAATGAGAACTTCAATGACCCTAACTCTAAAGAGGCTCTTGCTTGACCCATATAATTTTGCAGAGCGACAGTGCTTCTGTCACATAAAGAAAGAAATCAATATTACTTGTTACTTTGAGAAAAAATGAAATGCATTTAACATGGTATTAGATGACATAACCGATCTAATAACATGCTTAGAGCATCTCCAATACAATGCTATAATTAATGTGCCAATTGTAAATTTAGCATTTGAGTGTAAAAAAACACTCTCCAATATAATGTTATTTGTTGTGCAAAATTTCTCACATGTTATACTTTGTGGCAAATTTCTCATTAAGTATAGCATATGAAAAATTTAGTATTTGATTGCTATTGGTTGAAATGTTTACTCTTTCATTTAATCAATACAACTTTTGCATTTTTTAATTATTTTAAACATAAAAGTTTACTTTTACAACTTTCACAGTTTAATAATTATGGGAAAATGTAAATTTAACATTGCAAATAGCATATGCATTTGAGTAAAAATGAAAATAACATACCATATTACACTTTTTTATGGTAAATATACAATTGACATTAGCATTTGCATTGAAGATGATCTTAGTTGGCAAAATAAAAGGTTGACATCTCAGACACATTCACCTTGATACTTTATTCAGAAACAAAATCAATCATAGATTCAAAGGTTGATATTTAATCATGCCACAAACACAGATAATAATGCATCCACAACGAAAAGAACAACTTGATAGTATCCAATAAGTACAATCAGACGGTTTGTTGGATGCAGCAATATCATGAGAACCTATCACAATAAAGCAATCGAAGATATAGGAACAAAGGGAGGACAAAGCAGCATACAAGAAAAGACCAACAACTATAACAACCGAAGGTCATTAAGAATAGGCGACATCGCGACATACAAAAATATTATACAGATGCAAGTCATCTCGTTTGACATTTTGAATTTCTTGGTTTTGTAAGATCCAAAATTGAGTTATCCTTTAATATTGCTATAAATACATATACATACATATGTATATATAATAGCACTGTATATCTTCACACATCCTTATATGATACATATATATATATATATATATATATAATAGCACTGTCTATCTTCACACATCCTTATATGCAACAAAATGAAGCAAACACAAAAAGGGGGAAAAAGAGAGGAAAAAAAAAAGAAAATCATATAGAGAGAGTTGAGAGAGAGACGCGACTTAGGCAGCAGAATTTAACAGATTAATTTGTAGGGCAACGCATACACATGCAAGAAAAAGAGATATGCAATTTCAATTTTTGCTTATTTAAGAAACACTTGGAAAAATACTAAAGAAAGAGTATATTTGCAGAGAGGGAGAGATAAAATTAATAGAAAAGGAAAGAGAGAGATCTTAGTAACAAGTTCATGTACAGATACACCTCAACAAAATGGAATAGCATAAAGGAAGAACAGACATCTTCTTGAGGTAGCTCGTTCTATCCTATTTGCTAGTAATGTTCCAAAACATTTTTGGGGGGAAGCAGTTTTAACTGCTACGTATCTAATTAATAGGATGCCATCTCGAATCTTGAAGTTTAGTACACCTTGCCAAGTACTCCTCAAAATCTTCCCACAAAGCCGAGTGGTGAACACTATACCACTCAAAGTGTTCGGATGTTCAGCCTATGTCCATATCCCTCCTCATCAACGTAGCAAACTTGATCCCAAGTCTCGTAAGTGTGTGTTCCTAGGGTACTCCCCTCACCAAAAAGGTTACAAGTGCTATTGTCCATCCACTAGAAAGACATATATCACTATGGATGTGACTTTCATGGAGAGTGTCCCATTTTA